GCGAAATGTTACAGGTTGGTGAACGGCATCAGCCAGGTACTGCATTGTTTCGTGAACACGATGATTACAATGATGAGAGGCAGGAAGCGGACGAACTGGACGATGGGGAATGTTCGGACTCATCCAGTTCGCAAGGTAGTTCACTCACCTTACGTCCCAATTCGCCGACCATGGATCGGCCGATTTCCGGTCACACCCCCTCACTGGGACCCCCACCTCCACCACCACCACCAACGACGACGACTAGTGCCAAAACAATAAATTTGTATAGAAATCATCATTCAACAACGCATCCAGTGGCTTCGAACAAGACTGAGAGTCCTGAAAGTGGGAATAATTTCAGAGGAGCGAGAATGGGACAAACCGAGCCGCAGAGGAAACAGCGCGAACAACAGTCGACGTCACAGCAACAGCAACAACAAGGACAAACGCTCGAACAAGCGAATAAGCAAAAATCTCGAGAACATCAACAACGAATTCAACAGTTTGCACGACGTCCTCCTCTGCAAATTAGTCAATCATTCAGCGATGTGGAGTCCTCTTTCTCCAGTTGTTTTAATCAGGTACAGAAATATGTGATGACTTCATTTTCGTATTCATTTACATTGATTTGTATAGATTGTTTTTTGGAAATTAAAGATGACCTGGGATAGTGGGGTATTGTGCGCACAGATATCGCGATCATATACCTGTACTTTTACAATCTGTGATGTGAAAATAGATTTCATAGTTGAAAAGACAGAGAGAGAGAGTACAACAAAGCTACATTAGAAAGCGAGACAGTGCCGAACGATTACACATTTTACCACGACAAAAGTAGTGATAGTGTGACTGAAAGTTTTGTTTGCACACTCACGTAATATTTCCTCCCAAGACAACTCTTATTACATTATCGCCAGAGTTTTAAAACGAATGTGGATTTTGAAATTTTGGCAAGTTTTCGCAAAACACGTACAAGGATTCTGATAGGAGAAATACTTACACTGTTATGTAATCGGGGGTGGGAAGGATGAGTTCATAAATGCTATTCAAAGGGTGAACAGTAAGCTTACTTAAAGACCCACAGCAAAAATCCACTGTTACGTTTTCATCTATTTACCGATTTACAAGAAAACTGACAGATCCCTCTTGCAAAAATCACAGAGGAATTAGTCTAACCAACATTGCCTCTAAACTTCTCACTGACATCATACTCCGTCGATCATCTGCCCGCAAATGAAAAGTGTACGCGTGAAAATCAGACTAGTTTCAGATCTAGCCAAATTCTGGAGCACCGACATTCTTTTCGTGAATCGTCGATTTGAAGGCTCCTCCGGACTCAATCGATCGGCCTAAACTCTGGCACTGGTTTTCTTGAACGATGTGCCCTAGAATTATGCTTCAATTTTACGATCCCTTTGCACCATTAACCGAACCCGAGTGTGAGATTACCGCACTTTTTCGTCCGAGTTCACCATGGACAGTGGTGTTTGTTAGGGTTGACCTCTCTATTTTTTTATTTAAGTTTGTTGGAGATCTGATTGTGGAAACAGCCCTATCCTCGTGAAAGTATAGTGGCATCGATTTGCTTCCAGGTGGCCGACTGTCTGATTTGGAGTATGCAGACTACATTGTACTGCTAAGTGAAGACTCAGGTAAGTTGAGGCTTTTCTGGATAGTTTGAGTGCCATCGTAACTGGGGAAAAGATAGGGCAAGTGAACAAGCTATGTTATTTGGCTAGCTATATCTCACCCGATGGATGCGCCACAGATGAAGGGTCAGTTTGCATACAGAAGGCTCGATTGGCATCAGACATCTGTGGCACCGTCTAGACATCTGGCTAACCGTGAAGGATCGAGTGTATCCTGCGGCGGTTGGGTTGGGTTTTGAACATCGCTGTCTACACAGTATTGTAAGAATCTGTGGGGGGGGGGACTAAACAAGAAATGCTGAGGTTATGTGTAGAGTTTTAGGTAATCGCAGTTGACCACTGGAGCAAGTGGTCGACTTCTATGGAATCCGCTGGTTATGACATGTGTTGCGCATGCCATCAAATAGGTTGCCATGGCACGCTATGTTTACCAAGGAAAGTGTTGGGTGGATAAAACCCAAGGGTGGTAAAAAATAAAACATGGCATGATGGTATTCAAACCCTAACCTGGAGACTCGGTGATATAGGTCCGGGAAGGTTCCTTGGATGGGGACTTCGGGATTATCTTAACCGGTGGTTAGAGACACTGAGTGATATGGCTGTGTCGTAAACAGTGGCGTTCGTGTGTCTTTTCAATTTCTTTCCAACCCCTGTCCTCTGAAATCCTCCATTTTCTCTTCTGTTCTACCTTCATTTTTCCTGTCCTTCTCCTATTGCTTTTTATTATACACTTCAGTGTGATGAACAGCCGTCGGAGCGGACCCCATAATCATGAAGGCCTGTTGTTCAGGGATAGTAACCGGCAACCTAAGCCCCGAGACGTGGAGTGACGAACCCCATTAGGCCTCGCTCGGTCAGGTATGGTTTAGAACCAGACGACAGCAAACATGACTACCACCAAGTTGGTTGGTGGTGGGGGCGGCTGGGCTCGAACCATAACGTCCCAAGCAATCCGGGTGACAATGACTAAAATACTGCGCCAGCACCACCCAAATGGGCATCCAAATGATAGGCGCACAAAAGTGTACGGTTAATCTTTGTACCAAATGAAAATGAAATATTTAACATTGTTTGAATTTTCTTCAATAAGTTATTTTTTCTCTGTATGCTGTGTCGTAAAGGTGAAAGCCTGATAACTCAACTGGACTGCATTTAACAATTCAGATTTGTCATAGATGTTTGGTGTATCAAAGGAATCCTGTGCAACAGAAACTGGTCAATCCGTTTTTATCGCATTTGGCAACCCCTTAAACGGTATGTGAAGGCACAAAATCGGAGTGTTGAATCTGATGAAATTGTTAGAATTAAGCCCTATCACATACCCATGGTATCGTCACAAAAACATATGTGTCTACTGAATTTGAGTTCAGTAGTAAAAATCGGTACTTTCGTTTCCCATTAAATTATACCAAACTTATAAATAACACTTTTCGATCAGAGATCCGCGTTGCGTTTTACTGCATTCGATTTTACAATAATTACAAAAATAAATAAAACTTAAGTCTATCCTTTGGATTGGTTGAACTAATGTACTTTTCACCGGGTCACCTGTGGCCTCCAATGAGTGGCGACTTTTCGTTACTACTTCCAAGTTGAGCTTTGCGCTAGTGTGCTTTGGATCGGGCCAGCCGACAGTAGTTTATTCCCAAATTAATCAGAGAATAATCAAATTACCCTACTCATAATTGTGAAATGAATTGCTCGCTTCATAGTCCGAATCTAAGAAACTATTCTTCACTACGTGTCGTGTAATCGACTTATTATTGAACAGACTCCTATTGTCAATGGTTGTTGATAATCGCATCGGTTTATCAATTGCGTAGCATCATTCAAACAGAGTGGTTAGATTCAGATCAAGCCAAACAAAATGACAGGTTATCGCCGACAACAATGGCTATCTTGCTGCCAGTTCTTATCAGATCAGAATGCTTGAAATAGTATGTATGCACAGTTGAACTGTGTACTCTGTGTATTGACCATAGATGTTCGCTTCCTTTTCCCGTCTCTAAAATTAAGTTCAGTCCCTATCCTCCTTAAGCATTCTCACTTATCTTGTATGCAATATGAGTTTGGTAGCGATCAGTGAAGT